GAATAATCACTCAAAGCTGGTGTTGTGCTGGTCCTAGGCTAGACCGTACTAGAGACGTGAGCCCACGCACAAAGATAGACACAGAAATTGCAAGAACAAAGAGTAAAAGACAGCGAGTACACACCCTTGGCATCTCTTTGTTTTTTGTATTTTTTTTTGTGCGCGCTCTTTTTGCACCTTTTGCCTTTTTTTTTTTGCGCTCTTGTTTTTTTTTTTTATTATGCACCTCTGCCTTTTTCGGTTTGATGACACCGCCAACACGTTGCACAACTCAAAAGGAAAACAAAAGGAAATCGAAACTCTTTCCTTTCGTGTAGCCACAGATCGCTTCGATCTCGCATCTATCTCCTGTGATACGCCCAAAATGAATCGCAAGGCAAGTGAATATCCGTTGGAAAGGGCACGAAATATGCTTTCCAAATTGTACCTAAACTTCCCAAACGGACTACGGATGCAACAGCTAATGCCTGTGTCCTTGCCCGAGATAAATCAAGACCCAAAATAAATTACTTTCCTTTTGTAGGTGGGAAATTGGCGTGAACAAGGGGTCTATGACGTGGGAAAGATTACAGGAGCATGGAGGACAAAGGAAAAGGAGGATCAAGTGCAAAGATGTGAACTAATACGTGACAGAACTCAAAACTCTAATGGACTAGACGCCAAGACCAAAGAACACGACACAAATGATGCAACCAAAAACTCAACAAAGCAATAAACCGAATGAAAGATGCAAAGGCTCAAAAGGTCTTGGACAAGGTTCTAACTCAAAACGTTTTTTGTTGGCTTTTCCGGTGGATGATAGGACGATGAACAAAACTACAAATAAAGGGATAGATCTCACCGAGCAACCTTGAAAGTCGATACCACTTGATAGAGCTGAGTACCCGATCTTTCGGTGAGTGGAGGATAACTACGATTTGGTGGGTGTCGACCCTCGCGATCCGACTACGATGAACAAGTCCGTGGCGCCTTAGCAATCCTGAACCAACTCCTGATGGTTATTGACCTTGCTGGTGCGAGATCAACTCGATCACGAAGATCAATTCCTGCGCAGCAATCGAAGAACAAGCAAGAATTTGAGGTGAGCAACCCTGAATATTACTCGAAGGTGGGGTTCTCAATTACACGAAGATGAAGCTTCGAAGTAGCAATGGCTAACTTAAGCAAAACAAAACCCAAGCCAAAGAGGGGCGCACCCTGGCTAAATAGGGGAGGAGGGAGGAAGGAGGGCGCCCACCCTGCCCACAAGGTAGGGATAGGCGCCAAACAGCCACACACCATCTCCTTGATTCCCTTTCCGATTTAGATGGTGCAAAGCACCTTCCGGGTTATTTCTTGACAAAACTAAAAACACATAGGTGGCGCAGCACCAAGACATTATTCTGGCAGGTTCATCATGAGCATAGATGGCGCATGCACTTAGGAAACATCTGGTCCTTCATTCTTCAAAATCATCACGAAGTTTAATTCACGTGCACGAGCTCGAGTGATGGGTCCCGGTGGCGCTTGTCTTTGGTTCGGTTGGAGTAGCCATTCCGTGTCGTGTGTTGATGTCCTCATCGTGGGTGCGCCAAAATGATTTCATAGCCTATGGTACTTTCGGGCGCAAAACCGTGCACCGATCTTGTGTCAATATTAGCACTATCTCCAAACGAACCAAAACGAGCTTCCAGTTGAGCTTTGTCACCTAAGAGTAGCATCGGGTGCGTCCCTAAAAGATATCTCGAGCCTATGGTACGTTTACGCAAAAACGCGCACCTATCTTGCACTAACACTAACACCATCTCCAAATGGACCGAACGAGATTCCACATGACCCACGTCACCTAGGAGTTCGATCGGGTGCATCCAAAACGATATCTCGAGCCTATGGTACGTTTAGCGCAAAACCGTGCCCTATCTTGCACTAACACTAACACCATCTCCAAACAGACCGAACTTGATTCCACATGACCCACGTCACCTAGGAGTTCGACCGGGTGCATCCAAAACGATATCTTAGCCTATGGTACGCTTTAGCGCAAAACCGTGCACCTATCTTACATCAACACTCACATCATCTCCAAACGGACCGAACGAGATTCCACATGACCCACGTCACCTTGGAGTTCCATCGGGTGCATCCAAAACAATATCTAAGCCTATGGCACGCTTAGTGCAAACCGTGCACCTATCTTACATCAACAATAACACCATCTCCAAACGGACCAAACGAGATTCCACGTGACCCACATCACCTAGGAGTTCCATCGGTGCGCCAAAATGATTTCATAGCCTATGGTACTTTCGCGCAAAACTGTGCACCGATCTTGTGTCAATATTAGCACTATCTCCAAACGAACCAAAACGAGCTTCCAGTTGAGCTTTGTCACCTAAGAGTACCATCAAAAGGTGCGTCCTAAAAGATATCTCGAGCCTATGGTACGTTTACGCAAAACCGTGCACCTATCTTGCACTAACACTAACACCATCTCCAAATGGACCGAACGAGATTCCACATGACCCACGTCACCGGGAGTTCGATCGGGTGCATCCAAAACGATATTTGAGCCTATGGTACGTTTAGCGCAAACCGTGCACCTATCTTGCACTAACACTAACACCATCTCCAAACGGACCGAACGAGATTCCACATGACCCACGTCACCTAGGAGTTCGATCGGGTGCATCCAAAACGGTATCTCAGCCTATGGTACGTTTAGCGCAAACCGTGCACCTATCTTACATCAACACTAACATCATCTCCAAACGGACCGAACGAGATTCCACATGACCCACGTCACCTAGGACTTCCATCGGGTGCGTCCAAAACAATATCTGAGCCTATGGTACGTTTAGTGCAAACCGTGCACCTATCTTACATCAACACTAACACCATCTCCAAACGGACCGAACGAGATTCCACATGACCCACGTCACCTAGGACTTCCATCGGTGCGTCCCAAAACAATATCTCGAGCCTATGGTACGTTTAGTGCAAACCGTGTGCACCTATCTTACATCATCACTAACACCATCCCCAAACGGACCGAACGAGATTCCACATGACCCACGTCACCTAGGAGTTCCATCGGGTGCGTCCCAAAGCGATATCTCGAGCCTACGGTAGTGCGTTTAGAAGAAACCGTGCATCTATCTTACATCAACACTAACACCATCTCCAAACGGACCGAACGAGATTCCATATGACCCATGTCACCTAGGAGTTCCATCGGGTGCGTCCCAAAACGATATCTCGAGCCTATGGTACGTTTAGCGCAAACCGTGCACCTATCTTACATCAACACTAACAACATCTCCAAACGGACCGAACGAGATTCCACATGACCCACGTCACCTAGGAGTTCCATTGGGTGCGTCCAAAACGATATCTGAGCCTTTGGTACGTTTAGTGCAAACCGTGCACCTATCTTACATCAATACTAACACCATCTCTAAACGGACCAAACGAGATTCCACATGACCCACATCACCTAGGAGTTCCATCAAAAGCGTCCAAAATGATATATGAGCCTATGGTACGATAAGCGCAAACCGTGCACCTTTCTTGCACTAACACTAACACCATCTCCAAACGGACCGAACGAGATTCGACATGACCCACGTCACCTAGGGAGTTCCATCGGTGCGTCCAAAACAATAGCTGAGCCTATGGTACGTGTAGTGCAAACCGTGCACCTATCTTACATCAACACTAACACCATCTCCAAACGGACCGAACGAGATTCCACTTGACCCATGTCACCTAGGAGTTCCTTCGGGTGCGTCCAAAACGATATCTAAGCCTACGGTACGTTTAGTGCAAACCGTGCACCTATCTTACATCAACACTAACACCATCTCCAAACGGAACGAACGAGATTCCACATGACCCACATCACCAAGGAGTTCCATCGGGTGCGTCCAAAACGATATCTGAGCCTATGGTACGTTTAGCGCAAACCATGCACCTATCTTACATCAACACTAACATCATCTCCAAACGGACCGAACGAGATTCCACATGACCCACGTCACCTAGGAGTTCCATCGGGTGCATCCAAAATGATATCTGAGCCTATGGTACGTTTAGCGCAAACCGTGCACCTATCTTACATCAACACTAACATCATCTCCAAACGGACCGAATGAGATTCCACATGACCCACGTCACCTAGGAGTTCCATTGGGTGCGTCCAAAACGATATCTGAGCATTTGGTACGTTTAGTGCTAACCGTGCACCTATCTTACATCAACACTAACACCATCTCCAAACGGACCAAACGAGATTCCACATGACCCACATCACCTAGGAGTTCCATCGGGTGCGCCAAAATGATTTCATAGCGTATGGTACTTTCGGCGCAAACCGTGCACCGATCTAGTGTCAAGATTAGCACTATCTCCAAATGAACCAAAACGAGCTTCCAGTTGAGCTTTGTCACCTAAGAGTACCATCGGGTGCGTCCTAAAATATATCTGAGCCTATGGTACGTGTGGCGCAAACCGTGCACCTATCTTGCACTAACACTAACACCATCTCCAAACGGACCGAACGAGATTCCACATGACCCACGTCACCTAGGAGTTCGATCGGGTGCATCCAAAACGATATCTGAGCCTATGGTACGTTCAAACCCTAGGCTCCGAAGCGGCGCTCTGCGAGGAAGACGAAAAGCACAGATGGCCTTTGAACGGAGGGAACAGAGATGCGGAAAGCACGAGGAGAGGGTAGAGGTCAAACCCAAGCCGCCATGGCTTACCGAGAGGCGACGGGGAAAAAAAAGACCTATAACCGATGGGCCATGAACAGGCCATGAACAGGCCCGTGGGCTGCGAGTGTTTGTACCACACCATCTCTAAAAAGGAAACTAGTAGGATAAGAGGGGAAAAGTACTCCGTTGACTACTTAGATCTCTCAAAAGTTAGGAAACTATTGTGATAATAAGGGTAACTAATGTCAAGTTTCAAAGATGCAATGTATTCACCAATCGTTGTTACCTACCCGCAGCCTTGAGGCAATGTTTGAGAAGGCGGAGGATGAGTACAATGATTTGATGTCAAAGAAAAACATCATCGAGGTATGTCCTATTATGTACAGTTTTCTTGATAGCCTGAAAAATAGTTTTGATACTCGTACATAAAACTTTTTTCTCATTTGCAGAATGACAAGGCAAAAATCAAGAAAGTGATAGAGGAGTTGGATGAGAAGAAGAAGGAAACCTTGAAAGTCACGTGGCTCAAAGTAAACAAGTATGAATCCTTTGATGACTCATTACATATCTCGGCAGATTCAGTGTCCCTTTATATATTGTTGAAGATGTCTCTTATACTCATAAGTGTGCAAATTGAAGTGTGCAAATTGAAGTCTAACTCCTACCATTCTGTCTCTATAGGGATTTTGAATCTATATCCAGTACTCTTTTACCTGGTACAATGGCGAAACTTGATCCTCCAGAAGGTGGCACTTTCTTGGATGGTCTTGAAGTTCGTGTGGCATTTGGGACAGTTTGGAAGCAGTCTCTTTCTGAACTTAGTGGAGGGCAACGGTCCCTTCTTGCTCTTAGTCTTATCCTGGCTCTGCTTTTTTTTAAACCTGCACCACTTTATATATTGGATGAGGTATCTCTGAATATCATTTACTATTCAAATTCCTTACCATTGCCCTTTTCTTTATTTATTTGATGATTAAAATTGATACTTAAGAACCGTCAACACGGGGCAGCGGACATACCCCACCACTGCCATCGCAAGAGTTTCGGTCGTGCCCACTTCGCCTCTCTGCACATTTCAGCTTAAGTACTAAGTTTCAATGCTCGTTTCAAATAAGTTTCAAAGCTCCTTTTCAAGAAAGTTTCAGTGTTCATTTCAGTTAAGTACTAAGTTTCAATGCTCGTTTTCAGCTAAGTTTCAAAGGTGCTCATTTCAGCTTAAGTACTAAGTTTCAATGCTCGGCGATGTCTCTGCGAGGGTCAACCACGTGCGAGCACGCTTTTTAGTGAGATGGGATTAGAGATGCATATGAGAACCGTCTGAGGGCCAAGGGTTCGACACCACCTTTTATAGAGCTCGGAAGAGAGAAGTAGAAGGGTAAAGGGTTGGTGGATGCATGTGGCATGAATAACGATGGTGGTGGAGGATTGTGTTAATACCACTAGTTGTTCTTTGCCGTTTTCACCTCTGGTGTGATGGGAGCCGGATGGTTGAGTGGGAATACAGTTTTGGTGGAATGTACATTGCAGAGTGGTAGTAGTCGAATCTCATTGATCGACCATGCTTTGCATGGCGGCAAAAAAAACCTGCAGCTTTTGCGGGTCCTTCAAGTGCATGAAGGGGTGAATTAATAGGAGATAGATAAACAAAGACACGAGATATGGTTATTATATATTATTGTTCGGTGGTGGGATTTGATGGAGAAGTATGAGCAGCTCTGTGATTTGTTTAATGAGTTGCAAAAGACCGGGCTGCCACGAAGGAGTTGGCGCTAGCACTACGGAGATGAACAAGCAATCTTGAAAGCTATTGATGAGCTGATTATGTATTTATGTGAAAAGTGAGAGTGGCCTCATTAGTTCTTGCATGATTGCGAATGTCACGTGCTAAAGACTTGAGTATATAGAGAAACAAAATATATATGATGTAAAGTAGGAAAAGATAGTTGAGTTTAAGACTAATCTGGACGCGGTCACTTTTTTTTTTTGACAAAAAGTGATGACGTGATAAGAATATGAGAAAGATGAGAGATGAACAAAGATTTAGCAACAAATATGTTTTAGAAACTTTTTCTTTAAATTCTCATTTTACAAACCATTTTGAAATAAATTTTAGTAACCTTTTGAAAACTCAATTAAATTATATTTTATAATCTTTGGAACAAATCAGCTCATCAATAGCTTTCAAGATTGCTTGTTCATCTCCGTAGTGCTAGCGCCAACTCCTTCGTGGCGCCAGTCTTTACGCAACTCATTACGAGGTATGGTTGGTATTTAATGTTGAACTTAGTTTAAGGCTTTTTATTCCATTTCTCATTTTCTAATGGAAGATGTTTTACTTTCAGGTATTTGGAGTTTCTTGGTGATGCAGTCTTGGATATTTTAATAACTCGCCATTTGTTCCTTGGTCATAAAGACACGTATGAGGGGAGTTGATGAGATAGGTTGACATCCGTGCATATCACGTATAATAGTTCACATTAGTTTAATCATTTATCTTATTTGTGCAAAGGGCTACCTTGGATATTCAATTGATTCCTGTTGTTCTTCCGCGGCAACATATGTTTCACATCATTAAGATGATCACCCATATTCTTCATAATTATGTGAATATCCTCTTCATAGTCCGGGAAAGACCCATTTTGCCCCATTTTATCCTCTTCATCGGTGCCACATTCTTTCACCATTCCTTTAATTAGATCAAGAAGTGTTTTCAACGTTTTCTTGTTGTAACCAATGATAGATGGTTTTGTCTTTGGACAAAGAGATGGCAATAGTGAGATGGCACTACGGGCCCTCGAAGACAACATCATCCACATCAGAGAAAAAACTGTAAGTTCCATATTTACTCTACACAAAGGACAGAGAAAAAAGCGTAAGTTCCATATTTACTCTACACAAAGGAGGAGTTGAAGTCGCTTACCACTAGAACAAGTGAACAACCGTAAAAATTGGTGTCACTATGCTTGTTCACTATGCAATCTGACAAGTCATCGAATACCACCTTGCACCAATCAGTCTTGGCTACACATTCAAGGTCCCAAGCTAATGCAGCACCGCCTTTTCATTCAGATGAAAGCCACTTGCCGGAATCAACACCCGGTTCAATGGGACCATCAAAAAGCACCTAACTTTGTCTTTTGAGTCGAAACCTTCTTCATCAAATTGATCAAATTCTTGGCACCAATTAGCGAATTTTTAAAATTGGGCTTCAAGGGACGTCCTTATTGAGGGTATCGGGATACCGCAAGAACAAATCAAGAACTTGTTTGTGTGCGATTTTTGGCAAAATCACTTCCTCTCCCTCAATTCCCGCGTGGAAGGCCTAATATTTCCTCAATCCTCTTAATCTGACCCACAATCCTTTGCTCATTGCTTATATGTGTCACAATTGTGCCATCTACCACTTCTGTTCTATTATATATAATTTCCACAATGTCACGCCTTTTCAAGCTATCCAGATCCAGCCCCATCATGTTATGAAACTTGAGGTCATCTTTCAAGATACGGGTTGCTTCATCACCCAAGAATCCTACCGCTTGGGCAACCGCCTTTAGAGAACATTTTACTTTTCATCTACTCCCATTGTGCTTTACGATGAACACATAAACAGTTCATCGAAATAGTTATAAACAACAAGATACTAGACAAGATATTTCATGCATGCATCAACTATTTCATGTCAAAATCTAATGGTCGAAGGTCGATTGACTGAAGGACAAAAGTGATGTGAAAACATTACAGCTGGTTGATGCCATAGTAAGTAACAGATGAAAGATGGTGTTAAAATTCAAGGAATTTGGACTAGCAAGTGTAGATGTTTGCGTAAAATAACTCAACAAGAATCATGTATTCTGTAATTTATAAGTGGTTTCAGATTCATGATGAAATGTACTTAAAGGGTACTTCTACTTCATTTTTATGGTTCCTTGGCATCATTCTTAATCGAAGTTACTTTTCCTTTTAACATTTTTATTAGTACATATATACATTAAGATGACATATATATTAAGATGACATGCATCAACTATTTCATGTCAAAATCTAATGGCTTTGGGCAAGGTAGGGTGTTGGTCGACTATTAGGAAGAAACTTACAGAGGGGTCAGTTTCAACTTAGTACTTACTACACTGTACCCAAGATTCCAGAAAAAATACAAACAGGGTTACATACCCCCGTGTAGTGTGCGCTTGTTGTGGTATGCGATCACACCTTGTCGACCTCCTCCCTTGATGGGCGCAGATCACAAAGCAAAGAAACTGCAAAGGTCCAATACAATTGAATCAAATCTCAATTAAGGAACAAAAAGGGTCCAACAAGAACTAAACAAAAGGAGCAGGAAACAAAAACTAAAAGTAAAAAATATTCCCTAAGCGTTGGGCGTAGCTAGGATTGTAGGTTAGGATGGTCCACCATAAAATAATTTTTTAGAGCGCCTAAGTAGTATGTCATGTATACAAGCATCTTAAAAGGAACGAGTCTACTTTGCCTAATGGCATTTGCATGCATAATGTGGGCTCTGTACTTTTCTATCATATATATCCAAATTAAAAGGAAATGTTTCAAAAAGTTGCTATGCATTCCCATTGTTTTCTATAATTGGAGGACAAACATGGTCGAAGTCGGTGTCCTTAACTCCCGCACGTTTTCAGGTCAACGCAATTATCCTTGAAGGATAGACCAACAGATAACATTGTTCTCAAGGAGATGCAACAGCGCTTAGGTTGCACCCTTTTTTGTTTTTGTTTTTTTCCGACACTTCTTGAAACATGAGTGACTTATAGAACACAATGATACCTCTAAATTGTAATGCGCTCATTGCAGAACAAGAATGTGGAGAAGGGTGCGAATCTTGAAGGCGCCACAAAAGAAATTTTGTAGAAATGCAGAATAGTTGGTTGAGTATGAAGGTCTCACATCCTCATTTATACAGGTTGCTTTATGACATAATAAATGAAATTTCTTGGTGCTGGTTGCTTTGGATAATGTTCATAATACATGGATTTTTTAACCAATGCTATGTCATCATAATGCATGCAAAACGCCTATAACCATCTAAATGACCATAGCTATTTGAACTAATTAACAATGAAATGTGATCACAAGCTTTCCTTAATCGTTACCCTAAGAACCTATTGGAAGACTCTGGACTACATAATCTAATTCTCGCTAAACATAATGGGCAAGTAACAGCTCTAGGAGGGTGGGCTACTCACATACAGAACCCTTCTCTGTTCATGTGTCCCTACAATGTGTGTGTGTGCGATCTTGTGCCTTAATGGGCCAAATGTTGGGCTTACTCGCTCCAGAACCATGACATGGGTATTATGGGTTTTACAAAGCAAAGCATTATTTACAACATGTTCACTAGTGGAACTTTGCGGTTTGTTTGGGAAGAATTTAGTTTACAGCTTTTGCATTAATGCTATGGCATTCAACTCTTTGTTTGCTTGATTTCAGGCAAGACTAGTAAAATGATCATTGAAAGAAAAGGCAATATGTTTGGAATGCAAATACATTACATCTCCACTTTGTATATATTTCAACTTTGTATATATTTCAACAAATTTACAAGAGAGTTGTGCCTTGTTTCAATTTACTATTCCAATGATTCACTACAATCTTTAAATTGAACCCTAAACAAAGCTTAACGATAGGGGTACTCACAAGAGAAGGCGCGCGACCGGAGAGGTGGCCTTCGAGTAGGAGAGCTCACGGGCGTCGGGGAGAGGTGGCCTTCGAGTAGGAGAGCTCACGGCGTCGGGGAGAGGTGGCCTTGAGTAGGAGAGCTCAGCGGCGTCGGGGAGCGCGCACCGAGTTTAAAATCTAGGCCCCGATTCGCAGACTGGCACCGATTCGCCACTCTCCACCACTAAAAAAAGGTTACCGATTTGCCTGGGCACCGATTCGCAGACTGGCACCGAGTCGCACTGGGCTCGCCCATGGGTGGCACATGGGCCAAAATCTTTCACCCATTCGGTGGCTGCCTTATCCAACTCCGGCCGCCACTGCCCACCTGCCACCGAGGAGCGCGCCGCCTCGCCTCCCGGCCGCCCAGCCAGGCCGCCGCTGCGATCTCGCCCGCCCGTGACGCTGGGCGCGACGGCGGCCGCCACCTCTCAACCCCGGCGACCGCCTCCTGCCTCGCCCGAGGAGCCCCCCTCGCCTTCATGTCTCCTCGATCATTGTGGCTCACGACGACCGCCGCCAAGCCTCCCAAAGCTTCCCAGCAGCGATCGATGATGCTCAAACCCTAGGCTCAAGCGGCGCTCATGAGAGAAGACAAA